TCATCGAGTTTGGTATATTTACCACCTTCTCATATCTAGTGATCTTGGTAATGAAATTACGAGGATTGGCCAAATCAGATGAGATGGGCATCCGTACACGTAATGTGCAGACATTCTCATAGTTCTTAAGCAAATCTTCAACCTGCCAAAAAAGAAACGGCGATAAGGATTCACTATCAGAATTGTTAGTGAATTGTTAAATGTCATTATTCTTTCAAATATATCCCCTTTTCATTGAAAATTTTCATTTTAGGACTTAAAAAATAGAATTGCATACTCCATCATGCATTAAAATGACAATAAATAAATTCTGCTATTGGCCAGCTTGAACACCAGCTATCAGGAATACAACCACTGAACCAGTTTGGAAATAAATAAAGTCAAACTTGTTGACAGTTTGAGACCTTAAAGAACAAGTTTCAGAAGAAGGCCACCAATTTCAACCCAAAGCAAGATCATTTGGTGACCAGTACTCAACATATAATATGAATAAACATCTAAAAGTTCATGTAAACGTGCAGCTAACGTGTCTATAACATGGTTCAAAGTCACGGTCGCGGTCGCGGCCGGCCTGGAACGTTCCACATCGGTCTCGGAATATCGGTCGCGGTCTCGGTGAGACGCCAATTTTAAAGTATTTAATATTCTAAAAATTGTTAATAATATAAAAAAGTATGCTAAATAAAAATAATTAAAAAATAGCATAAGAAATGGCCAAGTCAATCCGTCGCGGTGTGACTCGGCTGATTTCTCGTCTTGACTCGGGATAACTCGGAGTGACTCGGCCGAGTCAATCCGTCGCGGTGACGACTCGGCCGATTTCTCGGCGAGTCAAGTATTTCGGTATCGTTTCGTCACGGTATCGTATCGGTAGGGGCCGAGACGGTGACGACTCGGCCGAGTCGTCTCGGTCTCGGCCGAGACTTCGAACCATGGTCTATAATCAAGATACTCTAATGTTTGGTCATGAGGAGACTCAGTTCACTCTCCTAAAACTTCATGAACCACATAAATTTCTCTTCAAATTAGAGAATTCATCCCATTAGCTTCTACTCAGGCAAATTGCATTTAACAAATGAATCGGTTTAATGACTGGGAAAACACCACAGTATGAGTTCTCATCTAAATTTCCCCATCAAGTATCTTTGACTTGCTTTTTCTCCTCTTTTTTCTTTCTTTAAGTAATTTACTTTTTCTCCTCTTTTTTCTTTCCTCAAGTAATTATGCTACCATGGGCGAATTTCAAGCAGCTCTAGATTTAGAATTGCAGAATTCTCCAATTTGATCGTTTTTGCTTTTGGTTCACATAATCCTCCCTACTTCAAACAAATGACCTAAACAGAGACTTTATTCCCAAATAGACCATTTACTCTTCAGCTTATCTACAGAATCTTGGTAAAAGAAAACCAAAATCACTACAAGATCCACCCTCCAAGATTCCAGATCCAACAATAATATAATATATACGCACACCCCACCCTAGAAATCCATGCCCAAAATTCTGCAGTAGTCTAATGCAGTGGCCCATGAGAAAAAGGTCAAATTCCAAAATTTTTAAATATCTGCATCCAAAATACTCCATAAATGCTCATCTTCAGTTGACAACCATTCAGCCTACCCACTATTTTATGATACAGATTAATAATATCCCATATTAAGAAAAGAAAACACCCAAATAACAACTTGAGCTCAGTTAATCACAATTTCCAAAAAAAAAATAAAACATAAAATATGAGAATTTCAAATAGGAAACCAAAAATGAATGAAAAGACAAAAGGAAAGAGAACCCACCATGGCTTTGGTCTTGGAATAGAAAGATCCAATAAAGTTGGGAGTATCCTCCTCCTTGAATCCAACACCCGACCCGAGTGGATGAGCCGCATCATACTCAAAAATGCACCCGGTAGCATAATTAATCAAGATCAAGCCTTTCTCCCTGCACACGTCAGCCAACGTCAGCGTGCCGACAACGTTGGTCCGGATGGTCTCGACTTTGTGGGACTCGCACCAGTCGACGTTGGGACGACCCGTGACGCCGGCGGCATTGAAGACATGGGTCGGGTTAACACTAGCAATATCGGATTCCAATGATTCCCGGCTCTCGAGCCGACCTGACCCATATGTGTAATTGATCCCTTGAGCTTCGCATAGCTTTCCCAGCAAGCCGCCTATCCAGCCAGTTCTGCCGTAGATCAGAAACTTGAGGGGCTTGGTTTCAGCTGAGCCGTTAGCTGGGAAACCCATGTCTGAAAAGCTCGGAATAAAAATCTGAGCTTTGTTTTAAGCTGAGAAGGAGGACGGAATCCAAATGAGACTGCGGTATATACACAGACTGACAGCAAGTACCGCTTACCTTTATAGAGTGACGTTTATTTTTTATTTTCTCTTTTGGGTAATATCTTTTGGTTTTTTTTTTTTGTTTTTTTTTTTGTGGGACGAGAGAGGTTTTTTAGAATACATTTGGATCTATTGTGTGTTTTAGTGTATATACACAGACTGACAGCAAGTACCGCTTACCTTTATAGAGTGACGTTTATTTTTTATTTTCTCTTTTGGGTAATATCTTTTGGTTTTTTTTTTTTGTTTTTTTTTTTGTGGGACGAGAGAGGTTTTTTAGAATACATTTGGATCTATTGTGTGTTTTAGTGTGACTTGAGCAAAGATATGCACATAAATATGCCTTCGACAATAAACTCTTCTTGTTACTTGGTTTAATAATTTAAGTTTTTTAAATTATTTAAAGATTAATACTACTGTCTGTTACAGTACCTAAAAGTTGTTGTAAAATTCCACACTTGTATAATGCATCCATGTCACCAAATAAAATACGAAATTTGCTCTGTAATTTTCTCGAAAAGAAGCAATAATTCTTAGAAAAATTGCGTACAATTCAATACACATTTTTGACGCTATGATTATTCTGTCCCAAAAGTATTTCCAATGCAATTCAATAGAAATTTTCGAACCTCTACATTTCAATTTTACGTCTGCTCGTTCATAATTTTTTTACAAATTAACTTTTTCTAATTTAAAAATAATTTTAGAATCTTTTTAATTCCAATTCCATCTTTTTATTCTTTTACCAAAATTTTATTTTCAAGTGGGATTTTTGGGGTGGGAATTATTTGTGGCTGTTTAGTTTAGTACATAGGGGTGGGGTGAGGGGGAGGCAATTTGTGACTGTGACTGTGCATGGTAGTTGTGCAACGCTTGGACAGGCGAGGGAACACACGGACGTGTGGCTGACGAAATAATGGGCGATTATGGGGAGGGGCACATCTCAGGCCTTTTAATATGCTTTTATTTTTTTTAATGATTGGTAAATCAGATCTTAAAAATACTTTAATTCCAGATAGATCAGCAACAAAAATCCAGATCCCAATGGAGGTAGCATCTTTACATGGTACTACTAGTACTTATTTCTCATTGAGCATTTCAAGTTCAACACTCCCTCTCAAAGGGGTTTTTTTTTTTTTTTTTTTTTTAAAAATAATAGGTACTTATTAACTAACGACTGAATCATATTCAAACCTATTCTGTGAATACATGCATTACCAATTATTACCTTCTTTTGCATTTATGTTTTTCATAAATTCAACATTTGAACTGAAACGCTAGCATGAATATGAGCACTCGTTAGACAAACAAACATTACATTGCATTAAACTCCAAATATTCAATTGCCATATACTCCCTCCGTCCCACTTTGTTAGTCTTGTTTTCCTTTTTCGTCCGTCCCAAATTGTAGTCCACTTTCCCATTAAGAAATATAGTAATCTTTCAAATTGTCTAAAATACCCTTATTAAATATCTTGTTATTAATACATTGTTATTAAATACTAACCCACTGCATTGAATACATTGAGCTTTTCCAATACTAACCCATTAGCTGTAACTGATATTAATTGGCACTCTTCGTGATTAGCATAAGGGTATTTTAGGAAATTATTAATCTAAATTTATGTTTCCAACCAAATTAATTACACTTTCTTAATCTGTGTGAAAAAAAAACCAAGACTAACAAAACGGGACGGAGGGAGTATTATACTTGTTACCAAGGTGTAAATAGTTAGTGCAGGATCAATGCGTATATGGTAGATCCGGAGAATGGGAGGATACTCTATAAGCAAGGGAGCATGTGCAAGTGCATGCAGTTGTACGTTTTCTATTAGATCATTGTTCATTATACAATTCACAAAGCTGCCAAGTGAGGGTACCGAGAGAATTGAGGCTGTGGATCGATGTGGGTAGGTAGTGGGGTTTGTTTCAACATGAATTTTGGATCTCGATCGCAACACTAAAACACAGTAGTACATTAATTTTATCTGAGGGAAAGTAGTTTGTCAATTGCATCTGGTGATGAGTCGTTTAAGCGAAAAGCCTGAACAAGTTCGTTTGTCAATTGCATCAATCCTGACAATACACCGTAAAATTAAATGAGCGTTTAAATGAGTCAATACCTTCGCTTGTATGGCAAGTAACTGCTTGAAATTTTAGTTTGATAAAAAATTAATCTGGCTTATTATGCATGATATAAGTTGGTGGAAAATCTCCAATGAACCGTCTAAATGTGTATTGCCATGTTAGCATGTCTACTAGCCTCAGAGCTATATATGCTTTGGGTGAGATAGAGAGAGTGCTATACTATACATGACCAAAATTCCACAGGACATGCATTGAAAAAAAAAAAATTGCAGAACGAATAGGTTCTGGTAAACCAGAAGATTTTTACAGAATTCTTTTCCCTCAGAAGAAATTTTTGACTAAAAAAGAAAACCGCAGACTAAAATTATCTGCAAAAATTACAAAAGATCGATGGCAATCATCGAAGATTACAGCTGATTAAATCTATACTAAACAACATCTGCCCAGCACCCATCTATAAGAAAGGGAGAAAAGGAAGAGAAGAAGAAGATCTAAGGAGGGATTCATTATAGCCAAAAATGTCTACTGATCTGAAACTGCTCCAAAGCCAGAGAACTAATACGACTACGTGATGGAGTTAGAACTTGATTGAGGGATGCATTTGATCAGATGGTAAGATTTTCTTGAATGGCAACAAATGTTCCTACTATGTTTCCACCCATGTCCGGGAATGTTTCACAACCTCGAAGAGGCGTAACTTTCCCCATAGCATCCACCCCAACAGGATACTTGAGAAGGTGACCCCTCATGTCAGTTACTTCTTCAGATGCATATTGAGACCAATTCAGCTCACCTAGTGCTCTTACACGTCTAACACATTCAAGGCTTTCTGGTCGCTCAAAGCATCTCTCCAGAAACCCATGTGCTCTGCCCACAGCGACATTCTGTAGCCAAATATCTGCATTCAAATATGCAAAAGAATTTTTTGTTTAAAACATACATTTAGCATCTAGCGAAGCTTATCAATATCTAGGCCCGAGATAAAATAATTGCCTTGTATGATCCATTAGATATGTGATATTTAAGCTTAAGATCAACTCAAAAGAACCCTATTTCCAACCAATGAATTCAAAATCATGATAAATAGCATCAGTTTCAGACATGATTTGAGAATTAGTTAGACCTCAAAGTATGTACCTGTCCACGCGGTCTGGTGTGTTTCCTTGCCAATGTATTATAAGGTTGATATGCACCCATTGCAATTTCAGTGTCTCTAGTACCTTCCAAAGAGCGCTGGTTAATGTTTGCAGATCCAAGGACTCATCATCAACTATCATCCCTTTTGAGTGGACATAAATCATGAACCGGCGGCTCTTCCGACTGCGTACCTGATGTGATATGCGACAGACCAAAAATCAAGAAATAAATTTATTTTGGATGCAACCTAGAAAGTAGTTAAGGTGTGAAGAATATGTACTTGAGGAGTGTTTGCGGCAGCACTACTCTTGGCATCTGAAATGCCTCCATGCCCTTCAGCCTCACGATTTCCAAGGCAAAAGAAATTCAAAAAGTCTTGAGGTTCGTACGTCCTCTCAAGCCCTACTTCAACTAAAGCTTTGTAGATGGTGTCATACATCATTTGCATTGTATTATGCTGGAGAAGAAATGAAAACATCATTCATCTCATTAGATGGAGAACAAGCCATGTCATCATTCACATTCAATCCCTTTGACTTAGTTGTGATTAACTAAATCAAAATTCTAGAGCAGCTAGAAGAGGATACAGCTCCAGAATGATTATTATTGCAATAGCATGTGATTCCAAAAGAAATAAGACTAATAGAAAGAGAATTTATCCACATAAGTGACATGAAAATATTTATAGGCATGCTTCTAGCACTTTTCATAAAGTACCTTGATTAGCATCTTCCAAGCAGCATACCACATACTGGTTAAATCAGAACATGGAGGCACATGGCAAAAACCAACATTGTTTCATTTACTAAAGGCACCTAAACATTATTCTCTCCCCTTGTTGACCAATAAACATGTTCAGATATTACTCAAACTAAAGGTCATCAAACAGAAGATAGAGCTCTAAGACTATCTTCGTGGATCCAAGCCATAAGCACTTTACAAAACTTTTGTCGCTGTTAAGATAATGTGTAAGCATCTGCACTAAAACTTGAGTTCCTTTTACTTGACTATCTTGCAATTAGTTGCATTACATCAATGACTTAGAAGTTATGTATAAACACCCCCCACCCCCCAAAAAAACATCCATGCATATGAAATGGATAGAAAACGAAAGGAGGGTTTGGGGTAATTATCTTGGCCAAACACGAGTGGCTATGTGCAATCAAGAGAAACTGGGGAAGTAAATGTAGTTGATAACTCTTTTAGTCTGTTGACATCTATGCTTGCATGCACACTGTGATAATCAAATTTTAATGAGATCAAGAACCAGCTACTGAAGTAATGCTTGGTTCACGAGATTAAAGAAGCACATGTAGACTAATGAAAGTTCTGAATGTAAGGGGCAATCAACATAGTATAGACCAATAGAATAATGAGTTAATACAAGCATACTTAGGAAATAAGTAGTTGTATTGAAAACTTAACAAGTGCCGTCATAGCCGTGGAAATTTTAGGAGGAGGACGTTCAAAACTTGTGCAGATGTCAGCAATAAAAAAACAGTAAGAGATATCAATGCAAAGCAGAAATCACAATGCTACACACTGATATTATAAACCAATTGTTCCCTTTGACTACCATGGCATAGAGTCCTAAATCGCGGGATAAATGGCATATAACATAATGCTAAAAATGACATGTTCGATCTGACAACAATGAACTGAACAGGATAAAAATAGTTGGAATCTACCTGCCAAAATAAAATTCTCTGAGTTGCAGTACTAGTAGGAGCACCTTCTGGCCACATGGGGAGAACAATATATGCTGAAAACCTCTCATGTGCTCTAATTTTATTTGCAATTTTGAGTGCAATTTCCATCGGAATCAAATTGTTTGCACCTGCAGGTAGAAAAAATCTCATAATTAGTCCCAGAATATCTCTAGCTTTTTCAAGGCCTATCAGAATTTAGATGACCAAAGTAAGTTTAAGGTCCCATTGTCACCACTGGAAGCATAGCTTGCACAAGATATTATACTTCTTTTTACCTCCTTACACATCTATGAACTATCATAAGCAACAGGATTGCAATTGGAATTGAGGGCTTGAATGCATCTATAGAACACTTTAAAATTCTGATGTATAATTTGTATCTACTCTATATAGTTTTACAGTGCAAGTACAAAAAAAAATTGCTGCCAAAAGACTATAAATATAGCAATAGTGATTTTCATCAGCAATACAATCTAAGAATCCTTACCTAGATCTTTATAGTTATTCCAATTGTAGGATGACCCAAGGAAGTACTGATTCTCGATGTAAATGAAATGTTGGGCAGCACGGATTGCCTTTACATATGCAGTATGTATACTCATGTCTATGAGAACATTCTTCCCACACAAGAGGTTCTGTCATCATTCAGTGAAAAAAATTTCTCAATCGTGGAAGAGAGCGTGGATTCACAGCCTTGAGAATCGGGTATGAGCTAAAAGTTGCCTCACCTTGTCTGTAGCATCTTTTGGATCTTTTGGAAACCTTTAACAGAGCTTGAATCGATTGAACGAAAAACCTACATAAGAAAGTAATTGTATCATTAAATAGCCAAAACAAAAATGTGAACAACTAATTCAGAACTGCAATCATCTTATACCTGCACATGCCAAGCCTCTGGATTATCATCATGTTGAATGGACACATCATGTATTCCTAATATTTCAGGAATCCTTTCAAGCTTGAGCAGTGAATCATCAAATGACGATTTCATTTTCTGAAGCCCATGACGCTTTGAAGCCCTCAACCAGCGCTCTTCAAAGTTGGTTAAGATATCGTAAGCAGCTGGGCCATCAATTCGACAATGCAAATCATGCCATGCTTCTCTGGGACACCCTGCTGTAGAACCCTGTAAAGCATATAAGAACAGGAAAAGAGAAAAATTAAGTAATTTTGTCTCCGTTGCAGAAACTTAGCTCCATGCTGCAGAACCAATGTTCAGGGATTATTTTGACCAGACTTACCAGTTTAAACTTTATCAGTATAATCACATTGAATCCTGAGTAATTGTTTAGAAAGTTGTCTTCGCTAGTAATTTCTTTAGTATAATTGCATAAGCTTTTATTCATAAAAAGTTAGCATCTCTACAAAGCATAGCAATTTTAAATAGAATTCCCAAATATCAGAATGAAGCAGTAAATTGCAAACAATATTCAGGAGACCAAACAGTAATTGAAGAACTTGACGCATCAAATTTCACTAATGTGCCTGGATGGTTCACTAAAATATGTGAATCTAACACTACTAAATTTGAGATGCACTAAAATATGTGAATCTAACACCACTAAACCTGAGGGTGTCATTATGTCATATGCTTATCAAAACAGGAAAGAGGAAGAAGGCAATATCATAGGTCAGATAATCAAATAGTACTTAACAAAATCAGGGATTACCGTATAATTAGGATTATGATAGTCCTCTTTGTGTACAGTCTGCAAAGTTCGAAAAATGGGGTGTTCTGGAGTATCATATCTCCCTGTGGTTAAGTCAAGTCCTCCAATAAACGCTATGATTTTTCTCTTATAGTTACCTGCATCAGCATCTACAATTACACTCTTCTGATGGTGAGTGTAGATTGTTCCCACCTCCTGATAAAAACCAAAATAAGTCTAATGTTAAAACTGAAAAGTTAAATTGTGTAATAGCAAATGGAAAAGGAAGGATGGTGTAGACAGTGATGGCTAATCCAGAAGCATTAATAGATACATAGTTAGAGACTTAGAGCTTGATAAAGAATCATGATAGGACCAAAAAGAATGTATCAATTGCTTGGGTAAGAAAATTTTCATTTGAATCCATATGACTATACCAAAATGCATACATTCTTTCCTATTCTTTACCGATTAACACTGTAGACCTGCAACAAAAGTTTTATGCTATTGCTGTTATAGATAGAGGCAGTTCTTCATTTCATACAGTAGATTTAGGTCTGGGAAATATATAATGATGTAAAAGAATATATATGTATATATCAATAAACCTTTTTTTTGGCCCAGCTATGCCCTTTTCCAGCAGAACGGGGACAGAGCAGAACTTGAACTGAAGAATGCTTAAAGAATCTACGAGTCTCCTCATCACTGGTACCCATGACCCCCTCCTGAAAATCAGCAATAATGAAAACCATTACATAACTAATTCTAACTGAAAATCAGCAATAATGAAAACTATTACATAGCTAATTCTAACTGCAAAGGAATGCAAAAGCTAAAATTTAGCTACAACACTGCAGGATGAATAAAGCAGCAGAGATAATAACATCTTTCACTACGAATTCATTACGTGTCCTCAAGCCAAAAGATAAGGTTTGATCTATACAAAACAATACCGTACTTCCAATGAGAAATATTAGTAGATACTGCTAGCATTGCCTATGGGACATAGACCTCCCTATCAATACCAAAGAACTCCTCAAATCAAAGTATGTTGTGAAAGCAGGCAATGTTAGGACTTAGGAAAATGGTGTGAGGAAATTCTATTAGGCATCTATGACGGGTTAGAAGATGAAATGAAGTTATCAGTCTAAAGCTCTAGGGAAAAAATAAAAGCCATTAACCCCACCCAAACATTTTTCAAAAGATGTAACATAATCACCACTACATGAATTAAGCCATTTCCGCTTTCTTTCCGATCTAAAAAATAATATCCAAAGTTGCAACCTCTTTCTGGTTGTTTACTCTATGAACTAATCAATTTACATCCTAGTTTATATTTATAAATGCACTTTTAAGTGGTTCAGACATATGCCAAGTGCTAATTTCTTTAAGGTTGAGAACATAACAAAAGAAAGGTAAGGGGAAACAAACCAGAAATTCTGCACTAAATGCGTAAGAAGAAGTGATATGATTTCTTACAGTTTTAAAGCCCAAAATGCTCCTGGAAGTGGGATCATCCCAAACTAGAAGCAAGACTCTTACACCTTCCTGAGACTTTTCTTTTAGAAGGTCTCCCAGAATACTTTTCGTTGGGTTGCCAGTATCTCGAACAAGGGAAACTAGGTGGTTGACAGACCATCCAGTGATGTAGACCAGACGTTGAGCCTGACTTATGGCATTGAAGATGTCATGCCAGCAACGTCCATGCTGGTACTGCAAACCATTATCAAGCATTGAACTTGGAAGGCTACCTTCATGTACATGAGCATCTTGATAAAGCTGAACATTTCCGCCCCTCCTAAGGGGAAAATAAGTACCAGGGACACCCTGATAAGGACCTGATCCAACTCCACCATGATAAAGAGGCACTTTCTCCATTGGGGTGTACTGAATTGATAAAGTCAAGACTGCTCCTTGTTTACATGATTTTCCACTAGCATTAAGAACTGGAAATGTACCCTCAACTTTTGCACCAGAGAATATTTGTTCCACTGGAATCCCAACTGCCCCCATGATTTGTGACCCTACAACATCATCATCTTTAACAACAAAATGCACTTCTGCTGCATGATGTGCAACAGGGACATAAAAGTGCTGCATCCAAACAGGGTTCTCACTATTTCTAATCACAAAAGTTCTACCAATAACTGCATTAGAGATTGAAATTGTTACATAAGGATCACTTGTATTCCCTTTCGATGAACTTCCTTCAGTTTTGCCTCCCAGTTTAAACCTATCAATAAAATTTTTATGAAACTGATCCAAGTTTGGAAGATTCTTGGCATCTTTCACCCAAATATCCAAATTCCCATGCAACAGTAACACCTTCAATGACCCCTGAGAGGTCTTGAACGGCACAACTTGTACGCCCTGCCCGTGCCCTGAGCTATCATCAGACAATGAATCAGAATGAGTCAAATGAGACATTTTAGCACTTTCCCAACGGCACCACCGGAAGGTAAATGTAACCAAACTTCAAAAGTCCAAATTTTGACCAACGCTCACATCAACAATGCTTACTGACTACTATCTTCTGATCATCCGAAATCACCCAAAAATAAAAGTCAACTTTGACTTAAATTTCTGAAATATCAGCAATAATCTGTCAAAAATAGAAAAGGGGTGCTTACTTGATCGAGGTATCAAATTCCTTCTTGAATGATTATCAGTATCGGAAAATGAACACCTGATCTAATCAAGGTTCTGCAATTGGGATGGTAAATATGAAACCGATCCTCACAAGTTGTCTCTTTGATAGACAGAGACAACGTGTGAGGATTGTTTCAGAAAATGGCAATGTGGGTTCTGTTTGAAAGTGAAAAAAGAATTGAGGATTGGGTAAAAGTCTTGTGCAGATGTGAATTGGAAGAAGAAGAAAAATCAAGAAAGAAGACGGCTTTGACGTTGAACAAGTAAGCAGAAGAAAGGTCCACATTGGTGAAACAGCCTCCATGTGTAATTAAAAAATCAAACGAGTGAAGGATCTCAATTCTCAGGTGGAAATATTAATGGTAAACAACCTCCTAAACGAAAACAAGAAAAGCCACAAAGATTGCAATTGGTTCTTTGCCGTTAGTTTTAATGAATTGGGCTCAAATTTAATCTGCTTATTAAAGTCCCATACTAAAAATTGTCAACATTCATTTTTCTAGTTTTTTGTTTCTTTTGGCACAAATAGAGAGTTATAGACGGGAAATGGAAGCGGGAAAAAGACTCTGAAGACTTGTTGGTAAGGACAGGTTGCGGGAGGAAAGACAGAGGAGAAAATTTCAAAACAGACTGCTGGGAAGTAAATCCCAAGTCTTTCTAAATTCTAACTCGTGGATAGGGTAAACGGAATTACCAGAGTCCTTTGTTCGTCAGTATTAAAAAGTTGCCATCAGCCGGCAACTTTGGATTTAGGAAGATGATGAAAGACGGTCCTCAAATTAAGAATAAGAAAATGGGTTGAAATTGCACCCCAAAAAACTATTCACAAGTCACGCTTTGCACCCGACCCGGAATTTTTGTTTTCAACAATTTAGTTAACTTTAAATTTTTTGCAATTCACCACGATTAAGTAAATTCTTGCAAATTGGATCAGATTTTATGTGGCCGGTGGCTGGTAAGAAGGTCCTTACAGCCCTTGTTTTCAATGTCCACCAAATGCCTTTTTTTTTTTTTTTCAAATCAAGAAAGGCGTCAAATTATGTTTTTTTTCTTTTCGTTCGATTTAATAAAAGCCTTATTCTTTTTCAATTATAAAAATTTGACACGTCTCTCTCTCTCTCTCTCTCTCTCTCTCTCTCCCTCTCTCATCCATCCGTTGAGTAGTTAGAACAATTATTAGCTTTGACCTGAAGGGCAATTTGGCATCTTAATTTCTTGATATTGAAAAAAAATAATAGAAAGTGTTGAAAGGGTCTCTTTACCACTCACTGGTTGGATGAAATCTACTCCAATTTATTGAAACCTAGTTAACTGCAGTAGATTGCAAAATGTTCGAAATTGAAGTTAGTATATCACGTAAATTGAAATGCGGTCTAAGAATAATTAAAGTGAGCAATAACTTTGTCAAGTTAAGAATAAAGATTGTTGAGATGTCTCTAAAGTAATCGTCAAGTTAGCGTGAATAAAGACAATCGTCAAGTTAAGAATAAAGAATTGAAATGATTTCAATTGATCATGTAAAGTTGGCATTTGAAAAGCAAAATTAGAAGTAAGATTATTCGTTTTCCACTTCCTCTCCATTTCATAATACAATTTTTAACAAACCCGCCCCTCCATTTCTGGAAAACCAGTTCTAACTTGATCTTTTTAAGTGTCGAGGTATCAAGGAATATTAAACTATACACTTTTATCCTTTTTTTTTTTTTTTTGTATGTGAGAGGTTTTAAACTCATAATCTCGTGCTCACAATCCCTCCTACTGTATTTCCCTAGCTACGTGGTTAACATCATAAAGACTAGGTGCAATGCATTGATGAGCTACTGACCAAACATAACATGAAATAAGTTATTCATAGGAAAATAGTGAACATGCTATTATACTGATGTGGAGAAAGATTTAACTACAAGGTATGCGGATAAAAAAGTTCTACCACTGGTCTGTGCTTAATTTTTACCGATTCATATGTATTAAAGCCCCCGAGTTTAGAAGCTATCTTGCTTTTAATGCAAGTTTTCGTCAATTAAGATACAGAAGATCAGCATAATCTACCCTTTGTAGCTCCATATTTGTGATCGAACGAATTACGACACATACTGAAAGTTATAATAACTTTAAGTAATGTTGCATATTTATGTCACATTTCCAACAATCAAATATAATCGTCATGCAAAGTTGCTGTCAGAAAGTTAAACTTACATACACACATTTATTTCCAGCATCAATTTATGCTGGAGAAGAATTTTGGGCCAAAGACTGCATTATTTACCTGCGTTGTTAGCAGGGGGAACGGTCAATGGCGGAGTTAGGAATTGCAATTAGGGGGGCGAGTCGTTGTTATTTAGACCAAGTCTAAATAACTTTCAAACATTATTGTTTGGGTCCTTGAGAGGGGGGCAAAGTGAAATTTTTTATCAATTTTTTAGGGGGGGCAAAACAATATAATAAAAATTTTTTTACTTAGAAATTTTTTTTATAACAATTGGAGGGGGGGCAAAGTGAAATTTTTTTATCAATATTTGGGGGGGCAAAACAATATAATAAAAAATTTTTTTCTTTAACAAGTGGAGGGGCGGCGGTTGCCCCCCTGGCCCCCCCTTCCCTCCGCCCTGGGAACGGTGGAATTTAAGAAACGAAGATGAGAAAGGAGAATTTAAATTCATGGCCTGTAATTCTTGGAATCTTAATTTAAAAAAAAAAAAAGAAAGTCCTCTTCTTCACAGCTTCCAGATTTTATTTTGCTTTAATTTATTTTATTATTTTCTGTTACTACCTTATAAGTGATTTAATCCATAGCTAGTCGTCATAACCATTTATATCCTAATCACCTTCACACGATTTCGACTTACTTGTTTATGACGCTTTGGACTGATAATAAGACAATCGATTGCCATTAGAGTATTTTAGTACCCTAATTAAACTATGCAAGAAATATTAAATTAGAAACTACAGGTTGGTATTGTTTAAAGGTGGTTGCATGCATGGTCTGTTTATTTGAAGGTGTACAATGTTGAATGACTTCAGTATGCCAGCCAAAGATTGATTTTGTTTGAATATTCTTGCCAGGCTGGTCTTCAATCAGAGTGTGATACCAATGAACTTCATGCTAATGCTATTATATTCCTACCAGGTCAAATAATCTTTTCCGGTAATGATGCACGCAAACAAACGGGATTCTGTTTATTAAAAAGATTTCATGTAGAGCGACCGTGGAGAAAAAATGCTAATCATGAAGCTGAAGTTTATAATTATGAGAAGAGGATCGGAGGAAGAACTCTGCAGACATTTTGTCCCCCCCGCTTTTTTTGATTGCATTGCATGAGTGTCAAACTTTATTTCTACTTTTGGAACAGATGAAATTGCTTGCTATACCCATCCATCACATGAATTCCAGAATTACAAAAGAAATCTGTTAGACAGTTTTTCTTAATTCGCAGCAATCTAAAGTCATGTATGTGCGGCACCATGTTAAAGCTATTATACATTCTCACCTGATGTATGACTTCTCTATCTACCAGTTTCTTAGTTTTTGCACAAGTTGTTGTCCGGACATCTGGCTTAGTAGTGATCTAATATCAGCATGGATTTAAATGCATCGCTTGTTTCCCAGTCAAAATGTATCTATCTCTTGCGCTTGGACTTCAGGGACGTAACAGATTGAGAGCTGCTGTGCCAATTGCGCTTCCTCTGGTTGATGAACCAATTGTTAATTTGCTTGAGCTGCAACCCTGTCTCTTCTACAAGTTTTGCCTTGTCATCTTCCTGTAATGCAAAGAGAGCATGCTTATTTTACATCACTAAGCATGAGGCAGCACTTAAGAGTCCTATCAAGTCCTATTTGATTGGGATTATTGGTTTTAACTTAGCTTTTCCTATATATACAACCAGTGACTAGAAGTAGATACAAGCTACTAATTGTGTTCCTGAATGCAAAAGCAAGAATAGAGTTGGGAGGGGATCATTGATGTCTGAAAGAAGATCTCTCTCCACCCAACCTCCTCATGCCTTTTTGAAATCAAAGTCCAAGAAAGGGCAGCATAGACTTGCATCTTGATCACATATAAAGTTTCTGAGAAACATTGGACACTCCCATCTAAGTTTCCAGTGTACCACCTCTAAATCACAGGCGTGCCCATATTTGGAAGGCCCCTAAAGTACTCATATTTGGTTAATTTGAAATAGTTCCTACTGTAATTAAACCAAGAAAACCAAAGTTCTGTAGATTCTACCTAAGCCCATAAAATTTTGTAATATAATTAATCCCTAGGCTCCTGGATTAGAAACAGAAAAGGAGGAACAATTTGATACTCTTAGACTCTTTCAACTGCATATGGTTAAGGAATTCAAGAACAAGGTTTAACGAAAACTAATCTCCATGCTAAAACTTTGACCTAGCTCCTAGATGAAGTATTGGAGAGTTTATTTGATTCATGGTACATAATAGTATAGTCTCCACTTTGATTCCTTGGTGTGGATTAATCAGCCCCAATCAGTTTGCTAGGGCAATATTAAGTAAACAGATGTCTGGATTTAGCTTATTGTATATTAGTCAGATTGGACTTACAGTTGGGTAAGGCCACTTTGAGTGTTGCTGCCACCAATTCTTCAGCACCGACGTAGTGTCACCTGGTAATTTTCCAGCCCTCCTTTTTCTTAATATTTCCTCTCTTACATCCTCAATTCTTGATCTGAATCCCTGCAAAGTTGTGGATGTACTTAATGCAACGACTGCAATTTCACACTGATGCAAGCTTTTGCCAACAAGAAATCAGAATATAGAAGACAGATACAATTGAAGATTTCCATGTGATGGAGTCTCTTTAGGCAATGCAAAAGTCTCTGGTAGTGTTCCACAGTTCTGGTCAGTTTTCCAGGTCAATCACAAAGATAGTTGTTGAGGTTAGGGACAGTTCCCAAAATTCACCTGTTTCAACTCAAGCTTTAGCTCCTGGCGAACTCTCTCCATCAGAGACCTTTCTGATTCTGTTGGAGAAGAGGGCCAAATCCCATCATGTCATGTCCATCAGCTCCTGATTGATCTAACGAGAAATCCATCTGCAGCTCATCCTCATCATCTGACATCGTTGCACCACTTCCTTCACCAATATTTATGCCTGAGGTTACACAGAAAGATTATCAGTCAAACAATTAAAGAACTTACCTGCTTGCAATTGGGAAAGTCGTGACATGCCATCTTCTATTTCCTATTCTTTTACGTTAAACTTCCACTCATCAAATAATTGGCAAACAACTTGTATATTCATCAATCTCGCCAGCAATATTATGGAACCATAAAGCTTCCCCATTGCATGCA